AGCGATGGCCAGAGCAAGGGTTCACGACACGGACCTGCTCCAGGGAGCCTGTCCGGGTCTGCAGGGGTCTGCGCGTCGGACCAAAGTGGAGCGCCAGACGTTTGGGATACGGGGGGGATGGGCACAGGAGGGGTGGGGTTAATGCATCGACTTCGAATGGTTGACATATTGACGACGCATCGGCGATGCATCTTTGATATCAGGGTGACGTATCGGCGATGTGCAGACGATACGTGGGGCGGTCTGCGTCGACGAGGTCTCGAACTTCGAGGTCGATGTATCCCCCACTACGCCCATCCTCCCTGTCGCTGCCCCTTAGCAGGGGCCACCCGCAGGACGGAGATCGTCAGCCATTTTCGGCCTCCCAGGGCCCTGACCAGGCCTCGAGGCCATCAAAGAACGACTGGGGATGAATAGCTGGTCCCAGGGAACTGGTCGAGAGGCCGGGGGCCCGCGTTCTCAAACAACTCGAGGCGCCCAAAAAGACGTCTCGGGGGAGGGGGGCACGTGCAATTCGCTCACAGCGCTCGCTTCCGCCCAGCTTCGGGCTCCCCGGGACCCCATCACAGGCCGACCCAGCTCGAAGACTGGCGCAGAACGGTGGGATCTGCGGCCGGGCACCTCGGCTCCGCGTGCCGCGCCAGCAGGTCCTGGCTCGCCGCGCTCCGGCGCGAGGTGTGCTGTGCACCTCCTGGTGCCCGAGCGTCCGCGCCCCCCAGCGTTCTCTCCAGTCCCTCGCGCCCCGGGGAGCGGCGTTCGAGGCGCTGTCCGCTCGCAGGGCGCCGCGTGTCGCCGGGGCCGCCGCCGCCGCGACCCTCTCTCTCGGCAGAGGCTCCCGACCCTCCACGACGCCCCAGCCTTACCGGCCTCGAGCGTATCCCCATCCCCAAGATATGGACACGCCAAGAGGCGATGACAGTCTCAGGGATGCGCCCTCAAAAAATAATAAGGGGATCCCCCTGAGATTGGCATCGTGACGAGGAGGTGCCCAGCATATAGGGATGGGGATATGTTCCAGGCTGGCAACAGTCGTGGTGCCTGGCGATGTCGTCATTTGTGTTTTCGCAGGGCCGGCCCTCGGGGCAGAGCTGTCCGCCGGCAGGGGGCGCAGAGAGAGCCCGGCCGCCCCGAGAGATCCCGCCCGCAGACACGCACGTGGGGGCGAGGAAAATGAGCACCCCGTGCCCCGCGCTTCGCGGGCCCGAGCCGGGGCGGTGCCCTTCTCTCGGGAGGGGAAAAAAATCGTCGATCCCCAGGAAGATATGCGAAAGTATGGGAAGTGTGGGGGGGGGGGAGACAAACACCCCAAAAAAGTATGGGAAAAGATGGGGCACATCTTTTTATTTCTGTGTGTTCATTTGTGCGTTCTGGGGCCCCTTTCTTCTCCCCGGGCTGGCGCGCGGGCGCGGAGGCAGGAGCCCTTCTCGCTTCGTGAGAGGCGCGCTGCGCAGGCCGCGCAGTTCGTGTGGCATCTCGTGCCCGTCGTCGAGTCGTCGCCGCCGTCGCGCCGCCCGCGCCGCCGCCGCCTCCGCCGCCAGTCATGAGGCCGATGATGAGCCACATAGTGCGCGGGCGCTGCCCGTCGATGTCGCCGTCGCCGTCGCCGTCGCCGACGCCGTCGGCGTCGGCGTCGGCCTCGGCCTCGGCCTCGGCCTCGGCCTCGGCCTCGGCCTCGGCCTCGGCGTCGGCGCCGTCGGTCGTTGCTCTTCGTTCGTCGCTCTTCGTTCGGCGTTCGGCTGTTGTCGGTCGTCATCCCGGGTCGTCGGCCTCTCCCCTCGGGGCTCCGGCGTGTGCACGGGCGCTCGGCCACCCCGGAGCTCCCCCGATCGTCGAGCGAGGCTGCAGCGAAAGCACCCCTTCCTACCCCACGGCTTCGCAGTGATTCGTCCCCCCTCCCCTCGAGGCTGCCGCCAGGGCTCCTCGGCGGCCCTCCCAGACATCCCAGACATCCCAGACCCCCGACGTCATGTTTTTTAGCAACGTCGACTCCCGAGGTCTGGACCCATTCCCCAGGACCGGCTTCCTGAGCCGTCTTTGACGGCCCCGAGGCCCGGGAAGGGCACCCAGAGGCGGAGCAAATAGGGGAGCACCGTCCGACAGGTTATTTTTCATCTCCCGCCTCTGGGACCTGGCACCGTGTTTTTTTTTCGCAGCGGGGTCCCCCAGAGGTCTGCGCACCTTCCCGGGGACCTGCCCTTCATCCCGAGAAGCTCTCCGTGACGGCCCCGGGGGGCCCGCCGGTGAGCTCCCACCCCCTGCGGAGCTCGGGGGCGGCCACGAGGGGGGTGATGACTAGGGTCAAGTCGGGCGTGTCCCCCTTACAGGGGGATTTTCATTGAAAAATTAACAATATCCCAGGAATAGTCAAAAAAAAGTCCAAACATAGTCTGGGGACTCTTTTTTCAGTATTTTTTGACCTTCTTGGGGCATTTGTGGTGTATTTTTAATTTTTCGTCGAAAATGCCCCTGTAGGGGGACACGCCCGACTTAAGACTATGGA